CCAAAAGTCAATCCGTTCGAAACTCAAACTTCATGATTAATATTTCAACAATGATTCTAAGTTTTTATCCTCATTTTATTCATATTTGAAAAACTCTTAAGATATTAGTATTCTTATTTAATTTTTAGTACAGGGTCTTACAAAGAGGGATAACAAGTATTTCCTAAGCAATTTCTAGCTTCCATCTTCTAGTTACCAGGTGAATGAGTTCTTGGACTAGTTGTATTTGACTTTGTTGAAAGTTGAGAGTAATTCTGTGTCCAGAAATTCGTACATCCTCCCAGCATTTTACTTGACTGTCATCTCATATTTGCCATAAATGTCCTTCTCTCATTAAATCCCTCCCCAACCAATAGACTATTCCAAATCCATGAGCTTGATTGCTTGGAAGGAACTCTCTAGAAAGATTGGTTAGGAAAGTACTTTGCCTTTAAGACTTGCATGAGTGAGTGTGTTTTGAGAGACTATAAGAATATTATGATGAAAATTAAAAAAAAAAATGGCTCCATACGTCCATGTTTTATAATTTTTGTGGATTTTGATACAAATTTTTTAAAGTTTTTTTAATAATTTCTTTAAGTCATGTTACAATTTTGAAAGTTTAAGTTACAAGTTTTTTGGGCCAAGTAACTTCGATTCTGACATTTTTAGAATGATTACAAGTTATTACAAAAATTATAAAAATATCACAAAATTTATAATGGTTGTACAGTACCTTTTTTTTTTTTTTTAGTGTTGTCCAACAAAAGCTATGCATATGCTACTATCACGTAATCATATATCATATGAACTGGCTCACAATAGCGTCCTGTTGTGTCCGAGTTCATAGGGAGGATTGGGGTACTATTTTTTTACTAAAAAATTAAAAAAATCTCCCAAAAAAAAATTACCCTTAAATTTTGAGTGATAAGTGAACCCAAAAAATAAATAAATTCCCAAAATTAATAAACTTCACCCTTATGTATATATAAAATAAGAAAAGAGGAGGGGTATTGTAGGTATTTCAAATATGAACACTCAACTTTCCCCTCTTACCCCTTTATTAGTAGCATATATATTCATTTCTTCCCACATAATCACTCATAACTTCCTCTTTTACCACACTTAAAGTACTTCTTCAACAGAAGTATTACTATTACCCCATGTATTTTGAATAACCACCTGTAATTTTTTATTTACTACACAACTTTTTCGAATGTCATGGGATCCCTGTCAGTGAACAAGGCCAAATGTGTCATGTTTGCACTTTCTTTATCAGAGAACCTTGGCCAATTTCATAGTCTCTCATCCAAACTGGTGGTCTTCGAGCTCGTCTTTCACGTTGTGAGTTCTCAACATTTAGAGTGTCTCCTCCATTTGGACTGTCTCCCCCATTTTGATCAGACTCATATTCAGTCTCTCTAGGCTCTTCATCAGCTTCAGACTCCTCTCCAATACTCTCATCTTCTAGACTTGCTTCTTCATCAGTTTTTCACTCAAGATCAGCTAATATGGCTTGCTTGTGACTATCATCCTAACTCCATTGTTGATCTTCTTCAAACACCATATCTCGGCTGACAATTATTTTATTTGAAAGAGGATAAAATAATCTATAAGTTTTAGATTTGTCACTTATCCCCAACAATATGCATTTGAAACTCTTGGCATTGAACTTCACTATTTTGTTTTCTGGTACATGCACGTGGGCAATGCATCCAAAAATTCAAAAATGATCCACTGATGGTTTGAGCTCACTCCACGCCTCCTTAGGTGTCTTGCTCTTTACGACAAGAGTCAGATATCGGTTCAACACATGCACAGTCCAGTTCACAACTTTAGGCCTTTGGGAATTTGTTTTGCTGATAGCGTACTTCGCACCATATTCATTATGGTACTATTCTTCCTCTCCGCGATGTTGTTTTATTGAGGTGTATAGGCAACCATCAATTGTCTATGGATTCCATTTTCATTATAGAAATTTGTGAACTCCTGTGATGTGAACTCTCCCCCATGATCTATTCTAAGACTTCGTATGAATGTATCGATTTCCTTCTCAACTCTTGATTTGTAGGACTTGAATGTGACAAATGCTTCTGACTTCTCCACCAAGAAATAAACCCAAGTTTTTCTGCTAAAATCATCAATGAAGGTGATGAGATATCATTTCTTACTATTTGAAATTGGGTTAATTGGTCCACATATGTCAGCGTGCACCAGCTGAAGAATTTTGGAGGCTCTCCACATGCTTTTATTGGGAAATCGATCACGGTGCTGCCTTCCTACCAACCAATCTTCACACACCCTTTGAGAGACACTAAACTGAGGTAACCCTTTCACCATGTTCTTATGTTGGAGCACTTTGAGTCCATTCTAGCTGAGATGCCCATATCGACAATGCCAAAGGTTTGTTTGATCTATGGTCAATGTGGAGACGCATTGTTGATCCTTTGGTGAGCAATGAGCGAGCACAGCAAACACCCTGTTATGTGTCATCTTAGTTTCCAAGATTAAGCCTTTCTCAGAATGAAAGACTTTGCAATTTCCATGTTGAAATAGCATTGTCATCCCTTTTTCTTACAACTGGCCAATGCTCAATAGATTGTTCTTCAAATCTGGTACGTAGAAAACTCCTGTAATAATAAGCACAATCCCATTTACCTCCATTCGAACCTTACCTTTGCCTTGTACAGTAAGACTTGAATCATTGACCAGCTTCACTGATTTTTTAAAGCTACTATCAATCTCACAGAACATGTCTTTGTTGCCACACATGTGGTTATTATAGCCAGAGTCAAGAAACCAAATGTGCTTGGATGCAGCCTGCTTGAAATCCATGAGAGCCATCAACAACATCTCCTCTTTTGAGTCTACATATTTGTTGTTTGTTCCTTGGCTCTTGTGGGACATTCCCATTGAAAATGCCCTAACTCATGACAATTGTAACACTCTATGGTAAATTTGTCGAACCCAAACCTACCCCTTCCTCTTCCTCTTCCTCGGTATGAGTCTCGGCCTCCAACTCTTCCTTCTTGTTGGGTTCCATGAGTGACTTGAAGAGCTTGTTCATCTTCCAGGTGCTTGTTGATCCTTTGTTCATGCACCAAAAAACTACTTTGGAGCTCGTCTATGGACAGACTGTTTAGGTCATTTGATTCCTCAATAGAATATACAACGTAATCATATTTCGAAGTCATAGACCTCAAAATCTTTTCAATGGTTACCACATCATCCATTTTCTCCCCCATGAATTCTCATCTTGTTGGCTATGGTGAGAGTTCTCCTGAAGTAGTCATTAACCGATTCCCCAGCCTTCATGTGCAGCACTTCAAACTCTTTATAAGGAGCTTGCAGTTGAGCACGTTTTACACGTGTTGTTCCTTGATACTTTTGCTTCATAGAATCCCATATATCCTTCGCAGTATCTTTCTTCAAGATGGTCTTCAGTATCGAGCGATCTATTGCTTGGAACAAGTAGTTCTTAGCCTTTAGACCTTTCAAGGTCTGATCATCAATGGCCTTCTTTTGTGACTCACTGAGATCCGTCCCACATGCTAGTGCAGTGATTCCCGTCTCCACCAGGTTCCAATATTCTTTGGAACGCAGAAAATTCTCTATTAGCATACTCCAATGGTTGTAGTGACCATCAAACCTTGGAATGGAAGGTTGCACAAAGCTACTCTCTGATGCCATATCTATGAGGCTTTAATATTAGATGTCAGAACCAAAGAGAAAAAAAGAGAGTTCTGTGAATGCTAACTTGGAGAATTATATTATTAAATGACTACAATGACTAATAAATAGTCTTACACAGAGATTCAAAAGGAAACAACAACCCATGACTTTACAGGTCCTATAATCGTGGAGCATGACTAGTTAAACAAAAAAACATACTTGTTCCTCAAGTATAGGAGGAATTATTCAACACTATAGGAAATAATCCTAAAAACAAGGAACTCTAAACCTAACGACTAGAAAGCTTCAACAACTTCAACATGGATCCTTAATTTTTTAACCTAATTTTGAATTTTTGTCTTTGGAATTCAAAATTTGCACCATACGAATTTGGACTTAAAGTTAAATCCGACGTGCATATTACAAATTTGGCAAAAAATTATCTCTGTTTAGACGTCCAAACACACATTATTTCTCAACAGATGTTACTTTATATCTGTTCATGAATGGGCATACATCTAAGGTGCATTTTTGGGTTCTATCTATCAGTTATGGCTGATTCGAACAATCAGTTCTACATCTATAAAAATGCCCGAATTCATTAGCATTCCAGATCAACAACTAACAAAATTCATCATTAACAAAATTATTACATACATCATTAGAGTGTTCATATCAAAAAGTACGAAACACAATTTCTAGTTCTCTGTTCATTTAGATTGTATTGTTTTTCTATTTGTGCTTATCATTGTATTGTAGGAGATAAACACATAACAATCCATAAGAATCATAATGGAGAGAAAATTTGTCTTAAGGACATGGTGTCAAAACACCAACCTTGACTAAATTTTTTAATATTCTTTATACGATAATCTAATCAGTTTATATGTATCACAATTTATAGGGTAAGGGTGACAATTACGATGGGATGGAATGAGATATTTTCTATTATTTTTTTACATTACTTATTATATAATTACGTGAGGCCTATTATTTATATGAGAACTCTTTACTCATATACGGTGAGTGATCTGATATTAAATTTATTATATAAAATATGACAGATTTCAATAAATTCATTCGATAATTTCAAATAAATTCATCTAACGGCCATCAATATTCCTTTTAAAATTATTCATATTACGCGGTAACTTCAGACACAAATTAATTCTTGGAAAATTATATGAAAAAGTAGCGAGGATGGTGTAGATTGGATTTTGTACGGTTCTGTCGAGATATTACAAATTATTTATTTTTCTTACACTTGTGTGGGACCACCTCTGGTATTTATAATCCACACGTCATGAATTGACTGAGTAATAAGAGCAGGGCATGGCGAGTGGCGTCTACCGCCGTAAGAGAAAAAACCAAAGAGCAAGGCATGGGCTTGCCGTTACCGACACTGCCTGGCATAACATACCAGTTACAACTCTCTCTCTCTCTAGATTGGCTTTGCCCATTTCGATTTACTATAAATACCCTCTTGCGTGTACCTATATATGGCATCATCAACACCTTTGCTTCATTATTCACCCATATTTACCATCAGAAATGGAAGCTTAGCCTCCAATTCTACTCCTTCCTCTTCTTCGTCCTCATCGTGTTCGTCTTCGCCTTGTTGTTCATCGTTCGATAATCGGCAGGGTTTTAATTGGAGTCTCTGGAATTTTTCTGGTAAACAATCTCTGTTCCCTTTTTCATTGTCTATTGCGCTATCTGGGTTCAGTCTTGTTTTGGGAATTTGCAGTGTTTGAATCCAAGGGCATCTTATAACTATGCCCATTAAATGCATAATCTTGCTTACAGTCAGTTCTGTCCTGTTGTGGTTGTGTTCTTAAATATCTTAGACTCATTGTGATTAATTTCTTAATACTGTTGTTTATTTAGATTATAATACATGATAATAAGGACATCTTCTAATTAATATTCAACAAATCTATATTACTGTCTGTTGCAGTGGTGGCTTCTCATATCACTAATGAGAAGAACAAAAGACCCATGATTTTTTTTTAACCTTTCTTTTCCAGTTGTTTCTGGTAATCAGACCAAAATTTTCCTTGTGTGACCTTATTGGCATTCCTGCTCATTGAGTAATGGTGATTTAACCTTTGCATACACACTTGGGTGAAAGCGAAAACCTTTGATGGATTGCTATTAAATTCAACAGGGCAAGCAAAATGATATTCACTTTTCTGATAAAACTCCCTTTGTTTACTATGTCCCAGTTTTAGATTATGGTAACAGGTGACCAGCCACAGCTGACATTTGTCCATATTCTTAGGTTAGTTGATAATAGTGAACAAATTTATTTGGACACATGACCCTTCTGCATTAGTCTTAACAGCCTCGGCCTCTTGTCTATGTTCCCACAGCAATCATCAACCATTTATGCCGTTCTTTTCTGACAATTCTTCAAACTTGCATTTTGTCAAAAAAGATTGTTACTCTGAGGTTTCCTGCTAAAGATTGATCTTGGCAAAGATTTTATCAGAGACACGACAGCTCTGGAACTTACACTGGGGGTTTCTCAATAATGGTAGTCTTCCCTCAGTTGAACGGAAGATTACAATCTTCTGTATATTCTTAATAACCAGTGATACTAGAATTGAACTAAGCTAAATAGCCATAATTTAGCCATATTTTGTGAGATGTATTTGAACTTAGAATCTTGCTACTTGAGATGTCTCCATTTGACTCAGTATAACATTGTCTTTTTTTTTTGGGCAAGTAAATATATTCATTAAACTTTGCAAAATGTACAAGTAAATTGTTGTCTTTTGGCTATCAAATGACAACTGAAACAAAAGAAATCGAAACTGATAAAAGTACTGCAGAATAGTAGGACTTGAACCCAATTATGAAAACAAAAGAAGCTCATAGTCTAGCAAGAACATTAGAGACCGAGGAACTCCACATTTGAATGAAGGCTAAGTTCATTGGAGTATGCCGGTAGTTAGCATTGATAAGTTTGCACTTGTTAACTTGAATAATGGATTTGAAGATAGTTGCAACATCCTTGTATTCGTTCTTGAAGATTCTAGCGTTTCTTTCTCTCCAAAGTATAACATTGTCAAGAGAACTGAAACAGTTAATTTTAGCAGCTATGCATCTTATAGGAATCAAGTAAGTGTTATATATCCGGCTCACTGTGCATTGATCTATGCATTCCTACACATATCAGATGGATTATACCCCGATAATGTATAAATTTGTTCTTTCTTTCATTTGGCTTGAGGGTGTGCCTAAATGATTTGCAGGCATATCCAACATCTGGAAGCATCAAAACTTTAGAGCCCACGCTATGAGTACAACCCAAGGAAACGTTGCCTCACCAAAGAGGATTATAAATGTGAAAGATGAACCTGACCATCTTCTTGTTCTTGTTCATGGCATTTTGGCAAGGTATATATTTTCTTTAGTTCAAACCCAATTAGAAAAGAGAAAATTCACAATGAATAAAGAAGCAGAAGTGACTCGGAAAGAGGAAATAACGAAAACTCAAATGCTTGTACTTTGCATAATGACTGCTTGAACAATTATTATACCATTGTGCACGCACGCGCGTGCGCATGTTTAGTTGCACCTATAACACATACATATCTATTACAAGTAGCCTCCTTTTATTTTACATGTATGCTCTCACGTTTTGCAAGTTGCAACGTTGGGATCTCTGGCTCTAAAAGACCTCTGCATGTAATAAGGGCTTTGGCTTCGTTAGAAACTTGACAAAATATTTGGGCCTGTATGTTTTTATGTTGCTTGGATAAAATTATCATGGCCAAATTACTGTTATGTAACAGAACAGTGATCCATGCTGAGGTCAACCCCATCCCTGCCAACCTTGTATAATCAACCACTAGTCAAGATCTGACCGAACAAATGAAGATTTTTTTGGGGTGATAGTAGGTACGCTAGCATATGCCTTAGCATGTGTAGATTCAAGGGGTAAAGGGTTACACTTTATCCAGTCTTTGTGTTGGTAGCTGGTAGTATTGCTGTGCAGGCATATTCATGGTTCAAAAGCAGAATTTCGTAGAATATGGTGATAGAAGTGGTACTACTAGCATTTTACTTGTTGTGTGGTTAGCACCTTGTTGATTGGTTAGATGTAATTATTCCTCTCTCTCTCTAAAAGCCTTTCGAAAGTATCTTGGCAGTTCTTACTAGGGCTGTTAAACAAGCCAAGCTTGAACATTTTTTTAAACTCGTTTATGTGTAAATAGTTAAATGAGCTAGCTCGTTTATGTGTAAATAGTCGAACTATTAGACTTGAATTTAGCTCAATTAACACCCCTAGTTCTTACCATAGTTATCAAATCGTGTATCAAAAGGTGTATCATTTTTTGAAAATAGTGTATCGTATCGTATCGTGTATCGTAAAATACGGCGTAATTTTAAATAATTAATAATAAAATATATATACTTTTGAAAAAAAATCATAGACTCATAAAAACATAATATTTCATTAATATTTCACGTACTATTCAAGTCAACAATATAATTTACTAATATTAAAAAAATAATAAAGGGTATCAAATTAAATTAATGGTATTTATGTATATTTAAAAGTTAAAAGTTATTATGTAATAGGGTAGTAAATGTAATTTTTTATACTTACAACAAAAAAAAATATCTGCACAGCATGAGTCTCGTGACCCATGAACGAAAACACAGAGACAAAAAGAAGAGGGGTAGTAAATGTAATTTTTTATACTTATAACAAAAAAAAAAATGTGCACAACGTGAGTCTCATGACCCACGAATAAAAACATAGAGACAGAGAAAAGAGAGAAGAGGCGAGAGGCAACCTCAAAGGCGATAGGCGATGCCGGTGCCAGAGAGAGAGAAAGAAGAAGAGAGAGAAAAAAAACATACCTGGTGGCTGGTACCTCGTGGTCGCAGCTCACAGCGATGAAGAGAGAGATCGTGAGACAGAGACAGAGATCGTGAGACTAACAAGTTTGTGTTAAAAATCAACCTAGGCTTTCATCCGAAATTTACAAGTTAGTGTTGCTATTTTTTCAATTTTAAAATTTGTTTGATTTGCTTTTGATTGGGTGTTTTTGCTAATTTGTGGGATTGGTGAACTGATAATTCTTGTTTTTATCTCTTGCCTTTTCTTTGACATTTTCTTTGAGGTTGTCAACAATTTGGTGCGTTAAAAAAAAAAAAATTGGCGTATCGGTTGTATGTATCGTATCGTGTATAGGACGATACTATGCAAAAGCGATACAAAATTCCGATTCGTATCGTTTTACTTCTGTATCGTGACGTATCGTACGATATTAATAACTATGGTTCTTACCACCAGCTGATAGCTTAAGCATTATCACTAGCCACACTCACAAAGGGTGAGGTAAAAGGTTTAAATCTTGGTCTTGACATGGTTTCATGAGTTGCATATCAAACAGAAAGATGAAACCTAATAAAATTGTTGGAAATTCAGTCTGTTTACATCAGTTTAGTTTTCATTGTGTTTCAAACTTTGTCGCACTAGACCTCTAATAGTTGCTTGACAAACAGAATTAATAATCTAGGTTCATGGGTGCTTTGGCTCTTATTTATGATATCGAGCTGACTGAGCTTCTACATAATGCAGCCCTAGTGACTGGACCTATGTAGAAGCAGAGTTGAAGAGGCGTCTAGGAAGAAACTTTTTAATCTACGGTATGGTCATCTAAGAAAATTGTCATACTTCCATGTTCATATTAGTAATTTGTGAAGTTATAATGGCCTTTTATTTTTCTAAAAATGATATTGTTCTACTAAGGATAAAACAGGCAGGATGATATAGTATTCTTTATTGTGTTATCAAATAGGGGTTTAACTTGTTTATTTTTCACAGCAAGTTCATGTAACACGTACACTAAAACATTCACTGGGGTTGATGGAGCTGGAAAACGATTAGCAGATGAAGTAAGTATTCAAATATATCCTTTATGTAATGGCATGTCTTTATGTACACCTTCAATTAATGTGTAGATTAGGGGCCAGTGTGTGGTACAGTGGCAAAAGGTTATGCTGTCAAGCATGAATAGTTGGTTGGCCTGAAGGCAGACACATGGAGTGAATAATCCTGAAGTTATGTCTATACTCGGTTTACCATCCCAGTACCCCATCTTCACTATATAATTGCCTTTTTCCTTCTCTTTTCCTATTTTTTTGGTACTTTAAATAATTTAAGTTGTGGCTGTGGTAGGAAGTTACTTGAGCCTTTTATATTTTGTTAACTTCTGTTTATGAACAGGTCATGCAACTTGTTTAAAAAGACTGAGAGCCTCAAAAGGATATCCTTT